CAATTCATCCTGGTCCTGCCCTCTCACTGAGTTAATCACTCATTATTAGAAATTTGGAAACCTCTTGCAACTTCTGCACTACAAGCAGTTTACATTTAAAATTGTAAATTTTACTCGAAAAAATTCCGCCGTGCATACGACCATAGCGAAAGTAACACAGAATATTCGGACTTTTCGAGATTCGGAGGTTAGACAGTGCACAAGCAAACTTCAAAAAAGCCTTGTTTCATAAAAATACTTTTACCCAACGTTCAGCTTTCCTCAAATAGAAAGACCTAGAAAGAACTCTGAGTCAGAGTATAGGTATCAGTGATGATCTTCCGCGATGGCAAAACAGAATTTGGCTGTAAAAGCTCGTCGCAAATTCATTGATGGTAAATATGCTGCCACCAAAAAAATTTTATTTTATTATAGTAAGTCGTGTTTTTTCCTTTTACAACTGTATTTCTTTGATATATTCATTTTACCTACTCCGCATAAAAATATTTGTTTCCGCTCAGGTTATTCCATAACAATGGATCACAAATTTGCTTGTTTTTCTACGGACACCCCTATCATTCTATATAAACCATATATATAAACCATATTTACACCACTTTCCGATAGGACTAACAGCCGGTTTCACCAGCAATTTCAATGGAAAATGATTTTTTTTTTATTGTTTGGCAAATTCCATACAAAATTCAAAATATTAAAATAATTTTTCACTTAAATTGCTTTTGTGAAATTGACAGTAATAACTTCTGAGAAATTAATTATTTTATGATATTTGAAATTACATATTTTATTTTATTTTTTTTTTTTTTAAGAAAATCAAATTTTTACAGGAGAAAAATTTAAAAAATAACAGATTCTGTGTAATTTTTTTGAATTTTTATTGAAGCCTGTTACTCTCGGCACTATAGAAATCAATCACAAGCTTTCACCTATGGTTTTTAGTAAATATACTTACTTATTATGGCAACCCCGTTGAGTTAGAAAGAATGTGAGCAGCAGATTAGTGAAGTTTGCGTGTTAAACGCCACTTAATTCAATGAAAAACAAACCACGCTAAAGATATTTTGATTGCACGAAAGGGGTAGTGGCGAGATGCATTAAAATTGACCTATACGCAATGGAGTCAATAAATTATAGCGTGTAACAAAAGTGACGGCTGTCAACTTCTGCAAAGCAAATGCAAATCAGCAAACCAACAAAGTAGTTTTTGTTGTTGGTGTTACATAAATTCACACTTAAAATTGACTAAATTGTCAGACCCTTGTACTATGCATGCGGTTTAAGGTCGAGTAAATCGGCAATTTGACGCAAAGTTATTCACTAATACATACGAAAATATGTTTGTGCGTATTTCACGGCCTACAGAGTGAGCGCGCTTAATGTTACGTATACGACAGGTAAACCCTGAAGTGACAAATTGCAGCTGACCGCACATTGCAGGCATTAGTAAGCGAGGTTGTAGCGAATTGAGTTGGAAATTAGCATGGGAATTAAAACGTCGAATATGCAATTTCGGTTGGGTGGTTTGAACGGCGGGCGTTGATAAATAACGTAAAATATTTTTGAAAGTGTAGACTTATGAAAAATTCATTAACCGACTTCAAAAAAAGGAAGAGGTTGTCAATATGAGGGAATATTTTTGTTTGTTTGTTTGTTACCGCATAACTTTAGATCATGTTAACCGATTCCTACAATTCTCTGTTTAGAGGAAAGATGGTACCTCGGGGTAGTCTCATACTAATTTGGTTTAGATCCGGTCGTTGCATCATTAAGAATTTAACGGTAATCCTAAATTTTTATATGAGAATTGAAGTCGGCTTTGTTTTTTGCTTAAAAATTACTTGTTTTTGAATAAGAATGCGGCCTGAAAGGAGTGAATAATTTTTAAATTTCTTCCCTTAAAAAAAAAAACTTTTCGAAAAATTATCACTTTAATAAAACGATAACAAAAATTCAGCATAAATTCAACCTCAACGTGCTTCAATGAAACTATACAAATGACTCTTCTTCCACATTTTAAGATAGTTTCAACCCTTAGCAATGCACATATCGTACCCTATTTCAAAAACAGTTACAACTCAAAAATTTTCAAAATTAATTTTTCACATAAAGCAGTTGACATACCAGATGTCTAACGTCCGTTAAATCTCTTTTTCACCACTATCTTCTTTAACTGTTAAAATTCTATTAAAACTTATTTTTTCTTTTGCTTGTGCCCTTCGCGCAGCTTTAAAAGTTGTTTACCTCTTCTGAACATTTGAGACTTTTTGAGTTGTGACTATTTATGATTTAGGCTGCTATATGTATAACCGCACATATGTGTACCTATAATTAGGGTGGTCCTTAAAATATCAAAATCTAAATTTTGAGTAGCACACTATTTATGCTGTTATACGTACAAAATAAAGATATCGACGAATAATTCTAAATTGTTTATTATTTTTGGAGTTTGAAGAATATTTAAATTTTTTTGTAAAAATAGTAAAACTTTGGAAAAAATTTTTCTTTCACCATTTATCACTCAGCATGTTTTGTCGTTTAATGACGGTTAACTTATCAGTTTAGTTTTGAATAAAATCATAACCCGAAAAAAACTTAAAAATTCCATTATCTCAAAACCTGCACAAAGAAAAAAGTAAAAATGCGTTTTGAGCTGAGAAGGTTCATACTAGCTCTTGCCTGTGCCTAACCAGTGCTATTAAGAACTTAGGAAAATTAAAAAAATGCGGCTATGAATTTCAGTAATATATAGAGTATTTATTATTTTATTTTATATAAGTATAGCCCATTGTCCAACAAAAGCATATTAATTCATATTTCAAGCTTTGTGCAAAAATTATACAAATTTTCCAAATTGCATCTAAATTGTCAACTTTTTATTCAGATTTTTTAGATTTTTTTTCAGTACGCAGTTTTATAGCCCATTAAAATTTAGCAGAATAAAGCGTAAATTGTAAGTTGTTGAACAACGTTTTTTCACCACTGTATGTGAATAATTTTCAAAAATATACCTAATTTATAAAATTTTAATTAAATCCCTCATTTTGTACATCGAACATAAGTATGTATGTTCATATTTTTGGTGACCACCCTAATATACTTAGCTAAATACGCGAACGAGTATCTTACTGGAGATTGGTTATTTCAGGCCGCACGCGACATTCACCCCATACTTGTGTCATGTCTACACAAATGTATACACAAACTTAGCTAATGTATCTACTCGTGTATAAACATACACACATCTGCTTGTATATATTTGTATGTCTATGCAACAACCGATAGCAGGTCAGCTAATAAACTGGCAAGCATTGTATCCACTTAAGCACCATTAACTAATTGACTTACTTATGTACTTTCACTTTTAATTACGGTTTATTAGTTAGGTTAATTTGATAGGTGTAATTGCAAAATGTTCCAATAAACAGATATTCCGCTAAGCTTTATTGAAGCAACAATGAAATGGTATAACACATATTAGGCAAATGTCTGCCACTTTTTTCGATTAGTTTCACAAATGTGTATATTTAAAAATACCTACATAGTACCAAATAAGTACAGTACTCATCAAAACTAATAAGCGTAATTAACTTCATAACCGAGTAGCTTAATTTTCCTAGCACCTGGGATGTAATGAGTGAGTATTTAGGTTAAGTTGGATTATGTGAGATGAGATTAGATTGAATTAGGCCAAAACTACTAGAAATAATTACGCAAAAAAATTAAGTATAAATTAATTTAAAAAAAAATATAAAACAAAATTAAACAAAAATTACTCTCTCCATTGGATTCATTGCCAGAACCTCGCGACTCGCCTAATTCCCTATACTGAACACAATTTTTTATCGGATCAGCTGCGCGGATTAACGCTGCCATCTTCCTGTGCTAAAATACACAGCATATGGGCGATTCCAGCGAATAGTCTGCCGCAAAAAAATAAAATAAAAGTCCTATATCTAACTTGTATGTATATTGGTTATGTAAGCAGAAACATTTTTTTCCAAAACTGGCTTCGTTCGGTGGCCGCAAGGTCGAGGTATTTTTAAAAACCGTATTTATGCTCTGTTTTGTTTCAGATTTGGCATATTTAGCTGAAGCGTTGTAAGACACAAAATTTGCGAGAAATGGAACCGCTGGTGGCGCTGATGTCAAAATAAAAGTAAAAGTTAAAATTTGGACCTTTTCAATATTTCTTTTTACATTTCGTCGTACGAGTGTCACGTAGCGCCAGTTTGGAAATACCCATATGTTAATTGAATCAAGATTTTACATCTTAGATCTAGACCGGGTGCTGATGAACAGAGCCACTGATTATCTGAGTAAAGATTTTCTAAACAAGGACCGATGTAGATTTCGGTAATTCAGGTTTGGGTTAAGGAAACTTGTTTAGCTCCAGAAATTTTTTTTAAACTGTAGTTTATCATAGCTAGAGCCTATTTCGGTACTACCAAGAAAATATTATTTCAGGAAATTTAGTCAGGCACTAGACGAAGTACGAAGTAAGGACGTTTCATAGGGAACTTCCAGCCGGGATATGACGATGTTCTTATGACTGCTATAACACTTGCGTAGAATAGGGAAAGCACGGACGTAAAAAGTTCGATGATGAAACTTTTATCTTTTAACTAAATCATTGTTATTAAAAAAAAAATCTAATATATTTTAAGACTAAAATTTGGTTTAATGTTTTATACCGAGATAAGTAAATTAAAGCTCACTTATTCTTATATGTAGTTTAAAATTATGATAGCTTTAAGCACTAAGTATCTTATCTTTTAACAAATATGCATTTGACTTCAACACTTACTAAACATTTTTTAATATCCAGTAGATATATTTTTGCACATCAATTTATCAAATTAAATTAAATTGTTATGCATTTTTTATTATCATCGCTTCAATCGCCAAAAGTAATTTAATTAACCGAAATAAATATTTTTATCATACGTGAAAATTTCATTATCCAATCGGCAAATCGTTTATTGCAAAATCTTAACACCCAGTCAACCACGTCCAAATCAAATGTATCACGCCGTCTCAACTGTTTTGACCTTAAGGTAAAAATATTAAAAAAAAAAAAAACAAATTTTAATAAAAACCCAACAAAAGCTTACCTGCTGCTGTACTTGTGCTAACTACTCGTAGCAATTGCGTTTGTAAATTGTAAATTGCACTCATGTTTCATAAATGTATTTAACTCCAGTACTTATGTAGGTGTGTAAACCTTTCATATATTCATGTTTGTATTTTAAACTATGTAGCAATGCAACCCACGCCCCACATTTAACCAACCCAATGTACATAGTTATTTAATGCATTTAATTCATAGTCACCCATTAGTGATTTTATTAGCTGTAGATGCAAATTGTAACCGTCCGCCAACTGCAGAAAATTTCAAAATATCTAAATGTTTAAATGTTACTTACTTCCGAAATCTGTATAATCATTTGTTCTTAGTTGTTAGCGCGGCTCATTAAATACATTTCTTGAACTACCCAAACATCCCTAAAAAATTTTAAAAATAAATCGAAACTTTATCAAGAACCCACCTCCCTGTTGTCATTTTTACCTGTCACTTCCTGAGAAATTACAACACAAATGCTTCCCTGTCCTTGTATAATATTAATTCAATTTTACGTGTCATTGAGACATTATTATTTTTTCAATTCTATTCGTGCATATGTATATATGTACATGCACTCGTATATAAAATGAATCTTTCGGAAAAAATTCTTGTCACGTTTGATTAACACAATTATTCACTTACATATGTACCTAATTGAACAAGTCCAAATAAATGATAAGTATGTGTATGCACTTTGGCATTTAAAAATTAAGAAATAAAACTAAAAAAAACAATATCTACACTAGGGTGGTCCAAAACCTGTATGTGGAAAAGTAAAGTCGCAATTATATCGAAAAAACTGTACTCCTGCTTTTTATTTGGAAATAAAAAAAGTATTTAGAGTTTTTCAGGCATTTTATATTGGAAAAAAAATGTTTCGTAGAAATGCTATAGAATTCTTTAAAATCAATATTTTTCGATACGAAAACTTTGTTTCTCTTAAGGAGACTTCAAATAAAAATACCCAAATGTTTATTTAACCATTTTCTATTACTATATTAATATTGATTTTCAAGAGTTCCATACCATTTCTTTTTTTCCCCCTGTATTAAATACATGGAAAACTTTGATCGCTTTAAGCGACCTCTAAATGTTTTTTGATTTCAAAATAAGAAGACAGGGGTATAATGTTTTTCGGTATAGAACACTCCCAGGGGGTAAGAACATTAAATTTCCGACTTTACTTTTTTTTTTTGACCATCCTTATCTAAGCACGACCAAAATTTCAGTTCGAATTATAGGTCTCTTGAAGGGTTTCGTTTATAGGTACAGTGGTGTATAAATATGGAAGGGACATTTAATCATTCTTTGCCTATCGTTTCCCTTTCGTTTATTTAACGTTTATTATTTTTTATGTAAGTGTAGCTCGTTTCAAACTTTGTACAAAAATTTGGAAAATTCTACAAATTTTCATCAAATTTTTTAGCTTCTTACTAAAGCTTCTTAGAATCACTCTAAGTGTGCACTTTTGTAACCCATTAAATTTTAGTTTAATAAACTACAAGTATAAAATAGGTGGGACTTTCCGTTTATTATTTTTTTCAATTTTTTTTTGTTGCGCAAGGTGTTGCTCATTTTCTCCATACAAACAAAAAGGTGACGTGAGTGCCGAGTTGAGTATGCGCCGGCTGTTGGCATGATAACAGGAGATACTTCGTTTTATCCTCATTCGGCACCATACCCACGCACTTCGCTTTATACACTTTTGTATTTTGTTGAAAAACTTAACGAAAGGAAGTCGGCCTGTCTGAGATCTTCTTTGTTATCAAACTGCTCGGATAGGTTCTTCTTCCCGATTCTGCATGAGCTGGTGGTATGGTAGTATGGTCAAGCTCTGTCGAAGGTGGCTTTCAGATCATCGATTAGCTGGTTTGCATAGATTATATTCCCGCGAGTATTTACCCGTATTTGGGTTATACTATATTTTTTCTAGTGTGGATTTGCGATGTCTAAAGCCACACTGATCAGTTGATTGATGATTTCAGATGATATTCAATCCTTCACACAATACGCTCGATAAGACCGTGTAACTTAGGCTGAGAATGCTGATCCTATGTCGGTTGGAGCGTATGGAGGGGTTGTCTTCCTTGTGGATTGGGCATAAAGTCATCTGACCACATTCTGCATAAGAGTTGATGCATGCACCATCTTCGCCGCCATACTAGAATAGTTCAGCTGGGAGGCCATCAGCTGCAATAGCCTTGCTGTTTTTCAGCCGCATGATTGCTATTCGTACCTCGTCGGATTCGGGCGGTAAGAGACATTAATTTAGTCGAAATTGACAACCGACTCGGGTTAGTACTACTACCATTTAACAGGGCGGTAAAGTGTTGCTATCATAATTTATGTATATTCTGGATATTGGTCACTAGGTCGCCGTGATTGTTCTAGCAGGAGTTCGCCTTTGTCTTGAAACATTACGTAAGTCGCCTAACTTTAGGGTAAAATGTTTAAGCGTTTTTTTCTATCGGAAAGCATCTAAAGTTCTTTGCAAATATTTACATACATACGTATAAATATGACAACATACACTAGGCGACAAACTAAAGTGTAGACCTTGTACCATGCAATACGTATTCCATCGCTGAAATAATTTGCCAAAAAAAAGTATGAACAAATTTTGTAGTACACCACTTTCTAAAGACAAAAGTAAAAGACAAATACTAAAGCAAGGAAAAAGTGACGTAGAGTTGGTGGCACTTAAAACTTATACACAGAAACAATTGCTGGTAGCGGGGGCGGTAGGAGTGGCAGTCAGAGTAGCACTGAAAAAGTACCTGAGCCAAGAAGCAAAAGTAAATCACTAAAGTTTTCGCATTTTGCGAAAAAGTTCTTACCTATTTTATTGTGTACTTACCTATGCATACATAAGGACATGTATGTACATATACTCGTATACATACTTCGAGGTATAACTAGTGAAATACTTACATAAATCTGCAGTGGTTTTAGGTATTTTGTTTTGCACTGCCTTTTTTTACTGCTGTCCTGCTTTTTCCTAAGTTCTTTGTTTGCTTGTTAGTCTGCAGCCAGTAGTTATGATGGAATAGCACATACGCTTGCACACAGTAAAGAGCTTAAGTTGTTGGAAAAGTTTTTTTTAAATATAACCTGTGCAAGCTATCGCGAGTAGGGAGTTGTGCAGCACAGATAGACAAGAAAATAATAAAATTGCCAAAGTAATGGCAAAAAATGCAATCTCACGTGCAAATTGAGTGACAAGATATTTGTTCTGGTCTATAT